TCGGTGTTTCTTAATTTATTTTAATATACCGACCTCTTGAGATCGGTGTTTCTTAATTTATTTTAATATACCGACCTCTTGAGATCGGTGTTTCTTAATTTATTTTAATATACCGACCTCTTGAGATCGGTGTTTCTTAATTTATTTTAATATACCGACCTCTTGAGATCGGTGTTTCTTAATTTATTTTAATATACCGACCTCTTGAGATCGGTGTTTCTTAATTTATTTTAATATACCGACCTCAATTATATATATATATATATATATATATATTCTAATTATATAATTTAAATATATCAATCAACAGAGGTTTATCAATATCAAATTTAATATATAAATCTCCAAATAGATTAGTGTTGACACCTAATTTTGATCCTCCACAATGTATATTAATCATCGAGATTCTTTAAATTTCAAACGATTTGAAATAATTGATTTTATAAAATTCGTAATGTTTTTCAAGTTATTTTATATTAGTTTAGTCACTTTTTATAATCTTATAATAGTATATATATATATATATATATATTATAAATTTGTATATAATTAGTATATTTTATGAATAGTCAAAAATCATCTGAAAAGATTTTATTTTCTTACTTAAATGTTTTTATTATCAATTTAATTTAAATTATAGTTATAATTTTGAGTCAATTAGTTTATAATTAAGTTAATTATTTCATTTTGTTAAGCTTAAGAAAATGGTTCATTAATTCATGATATTTAATTATTAGTGGAACTTACTACTTTAATCAATTTGAGTAAGACCTTAACTTCGATTGAAATTCATATGGTCATTTTCTTAATTGCAATTTTAGCTATTCCTCACATCATCCTAACTAGGGGTGGGAGTTTGGTCGGTTCGGTTTTTCCGTTTTCAATTTGGCAAAAATGTGAAACCAAATCAAATTGAAATAAATTTGGTTCGGTTATTACAATTTCGGTTTGATTTATTTCAGTTTTCGGTTTAACCAAATTTAACAAATAGTGGTGCATTTTCAAAATTCAATCACTTTGTTCATGGGCTAATTAATACATACGGAAATGTGCGTTAAAAAATGGTGTGAGTATACGTGAAGGTTCCTCAACTAATTACAGAGGTCCTCATAAAGTATTTTGAGAAAAAAAAAATTGGTACTGCGGGTGTCAAATTCATGGGCTAATTAATTAATACATACGAAAAATCGAGGAATTTGGGAGGTTCTTTAAAAAGGGCTTGTAAATGCTTGAAATGGGCGTTAAAAAATAGTGTGAGTATACATGAAAGTTTCCCAACTCATTACAGAGGTCCTCAAAAAGTTTTTTGAGAAAAAATTTTTGGGTGTTTCGGGCGCCAGATCCATGGGTTAATAAAACATGAAAAATCGGAAAATTTGGGCGGTTCTTAAAAAAGGCTTGTAAATATGGAAGTAGACATTAAAAAATGGTGTGAGTATACGTGAAGGTTCCCAACTCATTATGGAGGACCTCATAAAGTTTTTTCAGAAAAAAATCGGGTGCTCCGGGCGCCATATCCATGGGTAGACGAAAAATCGGAGAATTTGGGTGGTTCTTAAAGAAAGGCTTGTAAATGCAGAAATGAGCGTTAAAAAAAGGTTGTGAGTATACATAAAGGTTCCTCAACTCATTACGGAGATCCTCATAAAGGTTTTGAGAAGAAAAAATCTGGGTGATCCGAGCTCCAGATCCATGGGCTAATACAGACGACAAATCGGGGAATTTGGGTAGTTCTTAAAAAAGGGATTGTAAATGTTGAAATGACCGCTAAAAATGGTGTGAGCATACGTGAAGGTCCCCAACTCATTACGGAGGTCCTCATAAAGTTTTTTGAGAAACAAATGTTGGTTGCTCCGGGGGCCTGATCTATGGGCTAATACAAATGAAAAATCAGGAAATTTTGTGGTTTTTAAAAAAGGCTTGTAAATGCAGAAATGAGCGTTAAAAAAATGGTGTGAGTATACGTGAAGGTTCCCTAACTCATTACGGAGGTCCTCATAATGTTTTTTGAGAAAAAAATATTAGGGTGCTGTAGGCGCCAGATCAATGGGATAATACACATGAAAAATCGAGAAATTTGGGCGGTTCTTAAAAATGGGATTGTAAATGTGGAAATGGGTGTTAAAAATGGTGTGAGTATAGGTTCCCCAACTCATTATGGAGGTCCTCATAAAGTTTTATGAGAAAAAATTTCGGGTGCTCCGAGCGCCTGGTCCATGGGCTAATACACACGAAAAATTGGAGAATTTGGGAGGTTCTTTAAAAAGGGCTTGTAAATGCAGAAATGGGTGTTAAAAATGGTGTGAGTATATGTGAAAGTTCCCCAACTCATTACAGAGGTCCTTATTAAGTTTTTTGAGAAAAAAATTCAGGTGCTCCGGGCGATACACACAAAAAATTGGGGAATTTGAGTGTTTTTAAAAAAGGGCCTGTAAATGCGGAAATGGACGTTAAAAAAATGGTGTGACTATACGTGAAGGTTCCCCAACTTATTATGGAGGTCTTCATGAAGCTTTTTGAGAAAAAAACTTTGAGTGCTCCGGGTGATAGATCTATGGCTACTACACATGAAAAATTAGAAAATTTGAGCGGTTCTTAAAAAATGGCTTGTAAATGCGGAAATAGACGTTAAAAAATGGTGTGAGTATACGTGAAGGTTTCCCAACTCATTAGAGAGGTCCTCATAAAGTTTTTTCAGAAAAAAAATTCGGTTGCTCCGGGCGCCAGATCCATGGGCTAATATACACACGAAAAATTAGGGAATTTGGGCGGTACTTAAAAAATGACTTGTAAATGCGAAAATGGGGTTTAAAAAAATAGTGTGAGTATACGTGAATGTTCCCCAACTCATTACGGAGGTCCTCAAAATTTTATGAGAAAAGAATTTCGGGTGCTCCGGGCGCCAGATCCATGGGCAATACACACGAAAAATGAGCAATTCGGGCGGTTCTTAAAAAAGGGCTTGTAAATGACGGAAATGGGTAGTTAATAAATGGTGTGAGTATACGTGAAGGTTCCCCAAATCATTACGGGAGGTTCTCATAAAGTTTTTGAGAAAAAATTTATGGGTGCTCCGGGCGCCAGATCTATGGGCTAATACACACGAAAAATTGGAGAATTTGGGTGGTTCTTAAAAAGGGGCTTGTCAATGCGGAAATGAGCGTTAAACAAATGTTGTGAGTATACATGAAGGTTCCCCAACTCATTACGGAGGTCCTCAAAAAGTTTTATGAGAAAAGAATTTCGGGTGCTCCGGGCGCCAGATCCATGGGCAATACACACGAAAAATGAGCAATTCGGGCGGTTCTTAAAAAAGGGCTTGTAAATGACGGAAATGGGTAGTTAATAAATGGTGTGAGTATACGTGAAGGTTCCCCAAATCATTACGGGAGGTTCTCATAAAGTTTTTGAGAAAAAATTTATGGGTGCTCCGGGCGCCAGATCTATGGGCTAATACACACGAAAAATTGGGAAATTTGGGCGATTCTCAAAAAAGTACTTGTAAAAGTTGAAATAAGCGTTAAAAAATGGTGTGAGTATACGTGAAGGTTCCCCAACTCATTACGGAGGTCCTCATAAAGGTTTTTGAGAAAACAATTTCGGGTGTTCCGAGCGCCAGATAAAATAAGTCAGATATTAGTGTGTCTATATATCATTTTATAAAAGGTAAAATGAATATTTTAAAATTAAATTGTTACTAAATCTTGAAATGTATCATTTTTTTGGAACAGACTCAAAAAGAACGTAGGTCATATAAATTGGGTAGAGAAAGTTCTGTTTTACCTCTACATTCTGAGTAATTCAACAAAAACGAATCTGCATATTTTATCATAGAAGTATAGATTCTTAAACTAAAAAGTTGAATTTCCTAAATATTTTTTAATTAATTTAATATTCTACTTATAAAAATTAAGTAAAAAAATAACAAATAAAAATACCATGTTAATATTCTGAAGTGTTTTCTGCCAAAAGTTGTATTCTTATGATTAGTATAACTAACTTCCCTCAATGACAAATGTAGACCTTAAATGGGTCGTTTAGTTTGAAACCAAGTTATGATGGAATTAGTTATGTTGTGATTAGTTATGATGGAATAAGTTAATGTTGAAATTATTTTTTATTGAGTGTTTGATTTGTTATATTCAAAATAATATGCATTGCATAAATTTTAAGAATAAGTTGTTTGTTTTCAAAATTACCCTTCACTTGATTTAGTTTTTATATTTTCTTTGAAAGCTTTAATTATTTATTTTTAAAATAAAATTTTCATTTATTTAGCTTAAATATTTTTGTGTGTACATTCCCACGATTATATATATGT